AACTCTCCTCATTGAGACGAAAATTAAATACATGGAGAGCAATGGACTAAAAAAAGATCATTTTGTCATTTAAGCTGCGTCTCAGCATTACAATACGTAAAAAATTGCGGAAAAAAGAAGAACTCTTTACAATGACAGGTCCTCCGTTGATTGACGTTACACTTGTAGCCACAAAATTATTCGAGATGAACTTTTAAAGCAAGCTTAATATGTTTGACGGTTGTCATATAGCTAGTTTTTCCCATCATAAGGTTTTCAAGCAAATTTCAAAACAATGCATAGGGGAAGTGGAAACTATCCGTTTCATCTTACCGACTCAGCAGCTTAATCGAGTAATATCTTGATGGCTCAAGACTTTTGTATAATAGTTACATTTTGGAAAATCGATCACTCAGTTGTGGAATATATGAGCTGTGCCATAGAAAGGAAAGATGAAACAGTTCATGGCTGTGGTTTAAACGAGGCGGAGAACGTTTGCTTTGAAGAAGGAAGTAAAAGCTTTTAATTTTATGTAAATATATCTAATTTGTCACGCAACGATTTCTCACCTCTCACCTGCATGACACGGCTAAACAATAGCCGCGAAAGAGACTATTCTTCAAGTGAGACACGGGAAAATGACTTCATCTGTTAACTATTAATGTTTCCAAGAATTCGTTTTCTTTTCCATATGTCTTAGTAAGGTATATCTTGACAATTTTAGGAATCAATTTTTTTGGAATTTTTGGAATCGAAACTAAGCGTTTACCTATGTAAATCATTTTAGGACGTAAGCAGGGACAATGGTAAGACCAGGAAATTGTTCTTCTACCTTCAAATTCTTTTGCTTCATGCAATTTCACTAAAAACATTTTTTTTTTATTTTATGGCAGTTTTATATCACAAAACGTAATTCAGGGTTGTCTTTGCCTTTCCCTCACTTTTTGTAACGATCAGATCCTCGACAGAGGTTTTTTAACTGAGATGAATATTTGTACACATAGAGCAATCGTTTAAAAAAAGTTATTGGGTCATTTAAGTTGCGTTTGGAAAACACTTTATGTGAGAAGAGTAGTAAACAAAGCGAGGCAAGCTCCTCTGACAGACCCTCAATTTGATTTACGTACGTCAAAATCGAAGTCACATATGCGCTCGAGATGTACTTGAAAACGTAAAAGCGGGTCAAATTACTCAGTCGTAAATCTTACCATCCGTTTTCATGCGGTCATACACCCTTTGCAGTTTGAATCATGAATTTTTCCTCTTCCAACTTTTTCAAGAATGAAGTTTTTAAACAGATTTTCAGTTTTTCATTTCAGTAATTGCTATCACCTCGACGAAATTCGTTGTAGATATCCGTTCTTAACATTACGACTTCAACACGGACAAAGTGTGTAATTTATTAAGAATTCTGGTTTTAATCGACACATGCGCAATGAGGCGCTAGAATTACCTAGGGACACTGGA